AGTACTGACGGCAGGTTCTTCAGGTGTTCAGGTCTGACCTTGTCTGGGCCGGGTGCTGTTTGTTTCTTTACCGACAAAATGGCGTGTCGGATTTCGGAGGGGAGAACGTTGGGAACAACATACCCATCCTGTGGAATTTGGTATGTTGGCAAGAATTTGGTATGTTGGCAATTTCGCTGATGTCAAGAGAGGGGTGCGGCAGGGTGATACCATTTCACCGAAACTCTTCAGTGCCACCCTCGAGAACATCATGCGACGACTGGAATGGGAAGGAATGGGAGTGAAGATAGATGGTCGGCAATTACACCACCTCCGCTTTGCTGATGATATTGTTTTAATAACACCAAACATCAGCCAAGCGGCACAAATGCTGGCCGACTTTGACCGTGAGTGTGGAAAGGTAGGACTACAGCTGAATCTTACGAAGACAATGTTTATGAGAAACAGCCTTGTTCCTGACGCCCCATTCGCTCTCAATGGAACGACCATCTCCGAATGCAACAGCTATGTCTACCTAGGTCGAGAGGTCAACATGACAAATGACCTGGCACCCGAGCTGCGCAGGAGGAAGAGAGCGGCTTGGAACGCCTTCAAGAACGTCGAAGAAATAGCTAAGAGGACAAAGAACCTCCGGCTCCGGGCACATCTCTTTGATTCCATTGTTCTTCCTGCATTAACATATGCCTCAGAGACCTGGGCCCTTCGCAAACAAGATGAGAACGCCATTCAGGTCTCCCAAAGAAGAATAGAAAGAGCTATGCTTGGAATATCACGTTTCACTCAATTGAGAGAAAGAATCCGGAGTTCTGACATCCGTCGACGATCAAGGATCAGGGACGCTGTCTCATTTGCCAAGGTGTCGAAAATCAGATGGGCTGATCACGTAATGAGATTTAAAGACGACCGTTGGACTAGAGCTGTTACTGATTGGATTCCACGGGATGTCAAGAGACCGCGTGGCCGCCCACCTACCAGATGGTCAGACTTCTTCCTGAAGATCATGAACGATTGGTTTGAGGCCCTTCATGTTCCCGGAGCGAACAGATGCCATTGGGCTACACTAGCACGCGACAGGGACAAATGGAGACGTTACTGGCGCCCGCTCGAGCAAATCGACGACTAACGGGAAGTTAAGTGATTAAGTGAAGTGGGCCTCCCTACCCAGGACCTACTAGGGTCATACCTGGTACAGGGTTCAGAGGCATGCATTGTAGGGGATTAAACTCAGGGCCTTTTGTGTGCTTTGGGCTACCTCCTGGGCTCTGAAAGTGTAACTTTCCTTATCTGACTCATTGATCTTGATTTGGGTTTGAGTATAAATTCTACCACGTATTGGTTTCTCTGACTTCAGTTTCCTCCTTGCAGCTCCCATTATCTCCTAGGAAGGCACCAGTCAATTCTCTGCCCATAGGCTGGCTCCTGGCACCCCGCCTTCAGGCTCAGGTCATTCTCGCCTTCTTACAGGGTATCTATAGGAAACCTGTAGGAACCCTAATGGAGACTCCCTCTGTATCCCTGTATAAATATAAATTGTCTTTCCCTGGATGCTTGTAGTTTTCTGTCCTTTAGTTCTTCTTTAACACCTTAATTATATTACGTTTGTGGCATTCTGTTTTGGATTATTCTATTTGGGACTCTCTGCGCTTCTTGGATTTGAGTACTTAGAAACTTTCAAAACTAAGGAAGTTCTTAGCTGTTCTTTCCTCGAGTGGAGAGCCTACCCCCTTTCTCTCTTGTTTCCTGAGGCCCGTGTGATGGGATATTATTTCTTTTGATACAGAACCAGAGGCTTTTTACAGTGTTTCCACATTTCAAGATTATTTTTTCTCCTTCAGGAGTTGGGGGATACTTTCCAATTTACCATCTCTACCAACTGTTTTTGTCTTTACTTGTTTAAGCCCTTGTATTGTCATCTTTAGCTTGGCTATTGTATTTTCTTTTTGTATTTTCATTCACGCATGAATGAAGTCCCACTTCTACTCTATGTACTTAATATACATCAGTGCTAGCTTCATCAAATCATTATTATTTTACAGTAATCATAAATTTAGGAGTTTAACTTCACAGCCCGATGTGTATGCAACACCCACCACGGTGTATGACCAAAGTTCCAGTGAGTTTCCTCTACCAAAAGACCCCTCCACTCATTCCTCCCTCCTCTCCTTTTCCCTCTGGAACTACTATCGTTTTTGCTGAGTGGAAGAGTTCATTTTGTTGGGTTTTACTAGTTAATTTGCTTTATTTATTCCACATGAGACTATCTAATAATTGTCTTTAATGCCTATACTTTGCACCCAGCATAATCAGCTCAAGTTCCATCTATTTAACAGAATGGTGTTCTGTGGAGGATCTCGACTGCCTGCTCCCTTCCCCAGACATCTCTGTGGCTTTGAGATTATTGCATGTTGGGCCCTGTGAGAGATGCTGCCTCAGACATAGGAATGCCGGGATCCCTTCGAGTCAGTGTTTTCAAATCCTTTGGGTATATTTGGCTGTTGTCTTTTAAAAAAATCCATTAATTCCGCCTAAAGCTGTTTTAAATGTTTCTGTTACAAATCTTCTAGCACTTGTTTATAAATTTTTATGTTTTTTATTTAATAGAATTTTAAACTTGTTTAAATTTTTTATTGTTTAAACTTGTTCAGGCAACTACCCGGTTCTATTCCATTTAAACCTTTCCCTGTATTTTTGCTTTTTTTTGGGGGGGTGGCGGTCACACCCAGTAATGCTCAGGGGTTCTACACTCTTGGTTCTACACTCAGGACTTTCTCCTCGCAGTGCTTAGGGGACCATATGGGATACAGAGAAAGAACCCAGGTTGGCCATGGCCTACCCCCTGTACTCTGGCCATCCCTGCATTTTTGGTCCACTTCATCATTCATGGTAAATTCCTCAGTTCTCTCATTTTGTTAGTTACTTATTAGTTATTGTCTCCTCTTGTGCATAGATTTGACTCTCTCCCTGGCTTGCTTGTGCCAGCTTTGGTTCAGATTGTGGGCTGGGGGTGTGAATCTACCATATTTACCCAGGACACTGTGGCATCTGTTACTTTATACAGTCGCATTCCTGAACCTATTTAGGTGACTGGACGTCTAGTGCCAACATGGGGTAGAAGCCAATGCCTGTGATGGGGCTGGTGGGGAGGGGACGGTGGAGATCCGCAGGTTCTCCCCGCTCAGGCCAATCCCACAGTCAGGGCTCTTGCAGCTGCTTCAGGTTCTCAGTTACCCTCCCCTAGGATCTAGTCCTGACTGAAGGTTCTGCTGCTTTCAGAGTGGACATAGAGGGCTGGACAAACAGTTCAGGGAATAAGATGTTTACCTTGCTACAGCTGACCCCTCTTTGATCCCCAGTACCGCCTATGATCTTGAGTCCTGCCAGGAGTAAGCTCTGAGCACCACAGTCTAGTTTAAACCCAGTCAGAGCTGCAGGCTCAACAGTAGCCCCGGGTCAAGCAGTGAAGGTGAGTCCTGAAGCCTGTGTGTTGTTGAGCCTGTCATTTGACTCAGGTGCTCTGCGTTCTGAATAGAAAAAGGAAGCGCCTCAGGCGAACGCAATCCCAGGTGTAGGTAGACTTGGCCTACGAGCTCTGCTTCACATTTCCCCTCTGCTCTCCAAAGGAAGACCTCCATTTGGGGGCTCTGGACGTCTGTCTCCCTCTGTCTCAAAAGTTCCCCTAGAGCTGGAGTAACAGCTGGTAAGGCGATTGCCTTGAATGCAGTCAAGCCAGGTTTAATCCCCAGCACCCTATGTGGTCACCACCAGGAGTGATCCCTGAGGAGTAAGCCCTGAGCACTGCCAGGTGTGGCCCAAAAGCCAAGAGATACTTTAAAAAGTCAGCGTGTCCCAGAGGCAGCAGCTCTGAGCTTACACATCCCCCACACGTCCCTCTCTGTGTTGACCATCTTTCCGCCCCCCTACTGAGACTCAGCCCTGCAACTTCTCCTTGGCTCTACTTCCTAATCTTGAACCAGAGTGATCAGGTGACCTCTCTCATTGGACCATCATTGTGGTGAGGATAAAATGAGCTCATGTATGTAAGACGGTTGGTACAGAACCTGGTGAATCCAACAAATACTGGCTTGCTGATGATTAGTCTGAGTTATAGGAGGTATTTCCCAAACCTTGGTGCAGTGGGGAATAGTCGCCACATTTAGAGAGGGGAAGAGCACCCTGAAGTTTGCTAACCCACCATGCTTCTCAACATAGTTTCATGTGCTCCGGGGCCTCTATCTCAAAAACTGACTTTAGGGGAAAGATAGTACAGCAGGTACTTGCCTTGCATGCAGTCGACCCAGGTTTGATCCCCGGCATCCCCTATGATCTTCCAAGCCCGCCAGGAGTGATCCCTCAGTACAGAGCCAGGAATAATCCCTGAGCACCTCCAGGTGTGGCTCAAACTTCCTTCCTCCCACCCCCCCCCCCCCAAATAAAAGTCAAAACTGACTTTGTTCCTGCTGGGTTTGCACCCAGCGCAGGCTACATTTCCCAGCCTCCTTTGCAGCTAAGGGCTGAGAACATCCCAGGTGCAGTCTCCCTGCGGAAGGAGGCCCTCTTGCTCTTCCTCTCCCACTGCCTTCTTTCAGAGCACTCCTGCAGGTAGCAGCTGGAGCTAACACACTCCCCTCAGCAACCTTGATGAAGACAGTGGGTGGCAGAGCAGAAGCACGGGAACTGAGTCCCTAGTCCCTGGAGTCTCACCCAGTCCCCACTTGTCTTCTTCTGAGCCCTTTCTGACTGAGAAAGAGACCTCTCTCCCTTAAGCCCCTCACCGGAACTTTCTGTGTCATGAAAATAAACCCAGCACTAACCAGTAGTGTAATCACAGAACAACTCAAAAAAAGTTGTTTTTTGACTTTTGTGCTTAAAGTTTTGTTTAAAGAACAAAAATGGTGGGGTAGTAAGGAGTAAGGCTAGATAGGGGAAAGTGGGGGCGGGGGGGGAGGGCTGGCCACCTCTCCCTGAGCAAGGTCAAAGGTGAGGTTGGCCTGGTCACTTACTCATCCCCAATGTACAGCTTGGGCCAGACCTCGTTGACATGGGTGTACTGGGGGCTGCCCTTCCAGAAGAGCCGCTCCAGCTCAAAAGCTCCAGGGGTACAGTATGCGTCGCCCTCTGTCTCCGCCTCTGCCTCTGCCATCAGTTGCAGCGTCTTGTCACACGGGTAGACGTCCTTGGGGTCTGTCTTTGCTTCTCCGGATGCCATTTTTGGAACCACAGGATTTTCTTTCCTTTCTGCAGCTGGTCAGGAGAGAGGGGCAGGTTTGGGGTGAGCAGGAGGCAGAGGCAGGGAATGCGATGTTTGGAATCAGGGATGGGCCAGAGCGATAGCACAGTGGGTAGGGAGTTACGGCCGACCCGGGTTCAATCCCCAGCATCCCATATGTTCCTCCTCCAGCACCGCCAGGAGTAATTTCCAAGTTCAGAGCGAGGAGTAACCCTGAGCATCTCTGGGTATGACCCCAAAAGCCAAAGAAAAAAGTAAAGAATAGGGGAATAAGCTGATTTGAAAGTCCGGTCAGCGTTTCCCAGCTGTACTTCTTTCCCTTGTCCCAGGCCTCAGGGTAAACGAGGCAGGCAGTTAGACAAGCCTCTCGAGGAGGGCAGTTAGACAAGCTCTCCCAGCCCCTGGGTCCAGCTGGAGTGGGCTACTGCGGGTTTGCTGGACCAGCATGGGCTGTCTCTTGCTCCTCTTCCCTTAGGTTTCTCTCTTCTTTAGTGCCTGCTTTTTTCTGCAATCTGCTGGCTTGGCTAGAGCGATAGCACAGTGGTAGGGCATTTGCCTTGCACGCAGCCAGCCCGGCCGAGCCGGGTTCGATTCCTCCGCCCCTCTCGGAAAGCCCAGCAAACTACCAAGAGTATCTCGCCCGCACAGCAAAGCCTGGCAAGCTACCAGTGACATATTTAATATGCCAAACACAGTTACAACAAGTCTCAAAATGGAGACGTTACTGGGTCCGCTCCAGCAAATCGATGAACAACGGGAGGACAGTGACAGTGACCCAGTGACCCTTCTGGCTTGGACCATTCGATCCTGAATAGAGAAGCACAGAAGGCCCCTGACGTTGCAGCCTGTGAGACCCAGGCTCTCAGGGAGCCGTGCCCGGGCATGCCTGAACCCCAGCCCATCTGGCCCTGGGCAGTCACACACGTTGGGGGTTTCAAAGCTTTGGGATGGGAGGAAACTTGTAGGGCCGCGTGAGGGTCCGGAGCTTGCTGGGGCCGTTGGGGTCAATTCCCTGGGAGGATGGCTGCCATGTGAGAGGTGGGGAGACTGCAAGTGCGGCTGAAGGGAGAGCAGGAGCCCTGGGCAGACTCTGCGAGGGGAATCCAGAAGGGGAGTTTGCAAGAAAGGAACCTGCCACGGCGTTGTGTCCCCTGAGCTAAGACAGCCACCTACCTCGGCACACATGTGTGGTGGGTAAGTTAGTGGGGAGGGGCGTGGGGTCTACTGCTTATTCAACAAAGACACCCCAGTTCAGTGAGCTGAACACATGTTTCTTGTGCAGGAGGCCTGGTTTCCATTCCCAAACCACATGGACCCCTGAACATAACTGGGAGCGACCCCTGAGCACTGAGCCAAGAGTAACCCCTCGCACTGTCAGGTATGGCTCCAAAACAAACTAAAATTTAAAAATTTCCTAATCTAGGTGCTGGAATGATAGCACAGCGGGTAGGGCATTTGCCTTGCACGCAGCCAACCCGGGTTCAAGGCAAATGCCCTACCCGCTGTGCTATCATTCCAGAACCTAGATTAGGAAGTTATTCCCAGCATCCCATATGGTTCCCTGAGCTATCACCAGGAGTAATTACTGAGTGCAGAGCCAGGAGTAACCCCTGTGCATCTCCAGGTGTGACCCAAAAAGCCAAAAAAAAAAAAAAACCAAAAAACTGCCTAATCTAGCATCCTTTGGGTGACAGGCATGGTTCCAAATACTTTCCTTTATTATCTTTAATTCTCTGTAATTCTCTGTAATCCCACGTGTTAGGTGCTCTCACTCGCTTATCTTACAGAGGAGGAATATTGGAAACTGAGGATGTTTATGGTGTAAGTGGCCCTTCTGAAAAAAAAATTCTGAGAGGGGAATTAATTATTCTGAGAGGGGAATTAATTGCATGTAGTAGAAGGAAGAGTATGGCGGGATTTTAGTGATTTTTTTTTTCTGTTTGGGTCACACTCAGGAATGCTCAGGGCTTACTCCTGGCTTTGCACTCAGGAACTACTCCTGGCAGTGCTCGTAGGACCATATGGGATTTTGGGAATTGAACCCAGGTCAGCCATGTGCAAGGCAAATGCCCTACCCGCTGTGCTATCGCTCCAGCCCCCGAGTGATTTTTTTTAATGGATAAGAAAAGGGGGGTGGGGGGGAGAGAGAGAGAGAGAGAGAGAGAGAATAAAAGTGTTTGCCATAGAGGCAGGCTTGGGCGGGGGGCAGGTGTGGGAAGGGTGGGAGGTGGGGGGTGGCAGCAGGGAAACTGGGGACATTGGTTGTCAGAAATACACACTGGTAAAAAGACAACTGTTTAAACATTGTATGAATGAAACCCAATCATGAACAACTTTGTAACTGTGTATCTCATGGTGATTCAATAATAAAAATAATAATAATAAAAGTGAAAAAAAGGATGGATAGTTTTCAAAATCACTAGAATTATGTCAAAAGTCAGAATGCAACTCGAAAAGGTTTCCACTTGTCAATAATGGGATAATCTGAGCATCTTAATAAAAACAATATGAGTGGGTTGAAAAAATATCAGACACTTGGAATGGTTTTAAACAAGCATTCCTCGTTGGAAGATGCCGGGCAACCAGTTCATCATTTGAGGATAACTAAGGAAAGGAAAAGAATTGAGCATTTGTTATTCCTTTCTGACAACAAACTGTACTAGTGAGTGGTTGGGGAAAGTTTTCTCTCGTACAGAAGCAGTCTAGATGGAAGGCAGGAAACACTGTTTTCTAATAACTGATCAGTTGGTGGGTATGAACGTTTTGCACAGACAGCTGGCAACCTCTGAGGAGACAATGCAGCATCAGGACCTTCTGATGGAAGGACACACCACCACAAAGAGTCTTACTGCTCTTGGATCTGACTCCTCAAGACAAGAGCTAACAGCCATTTTGCAGGCAAGTCAGAGGGCAGTGAAAGGGTCCTGGAGGGCCCACCTTCTAGGAACATGCACTGAAACATGCACAGGTAGCATGATTTCATCTCTGGAATGTGCTTTTACAATAATATACTTGGGGGAAAATCCAGTACTGAGTTTATTGGGAGGAGTGGGCATCAGAGAAAGGGTAGATAAGGCAGGAAATAGATAAGGAAATAACAGCTAAGAACTTCCTTAATTTAAAAAAAATAATTAATTAATTAATTAACTAATTTTTAAAGGATCTAAATACTCAAATACAGGAAGCCTCATGAACTTGAGAAGGTAATGATTGCAAGGCTGCTCTGTGTGCGTGTGTTTGAAAAGTTCCATGAAAACACTTTTTTAAAAGAAAAGAAGAGGGCCAAAACTATTGCTCTGGAAAATGTGGTCCTCCCAAGCTTGCAGAAGACAAAAATTAAAGAACCACCAGGCAGTGGTGTATATCTTAGGAACTCATGGGAAGTGAGAATCTGTGAAGTCCTAGGGAATGCAGAGTCGTGGGGGGGCAGGGGGTGGAAAGAGGAGGAATAACTGGTGGCAAAGGTGACCCTTCTTTGCAGTTTCTCCAGAGTCTGATCAAAACCTACCCCTGACAGGGGCAGAGAGCTAGCACAGCAGGTAGGGCACTTGCCTTGCATGCAGCTGACCTGAGTTTCATCCCCAGCATCCTATATCGTCTCCTGAGCCCTGCCAGGAGTGATCCCTGAGTACAAGAGCCAGGAGTAAGCCCTGAGCATCACTGGGTGTGGTCCAAAAGCCAAAATCAAAACCAAACAAAATGACCTTTGACAGAATCGTCTGGTGCTTACTAGAGAACAGATGCAAGAGTTGTGCATGGACTGAGGGTCAGAGCCTCGGAACCTGCATATTAACACACTCTCAGTGCATCTGGAGCTGACTAAAGCTTGACGATAACTAAAGCTTGACTAACGCTTGACAAGGTTTCGGCTGAAAAGTCAAATAGCCGTGAATGCTCCTCACTGAAGTAGAAACCCGGAATAAGGGTGCTGGACTGGAAGGCGTGAGGAGTTGGACCACGTCAACTGTGGGCTTCTGAGTGTCGTGTGTGTCTCTGTGGCCTCGGAGTCTGACACAGAGGAGGTACTCAGAAGGCACTCATTGGGAGTACTTGGTGAGCAGAGGGAAAGAATGACCAAGGGAATGAAACGACTTGAAGTTCGATAAGGCCTGTGGTAGGTGCAGCTGGAGCTGACGAGGCAGGAATGGGCCTGTGGGGTGAAGGTGAGCCAGGTGTAGAGGACAGGAGGGACAGTCCCCAAGACTGGGCAGCCGCTCGGGCTCAGGCCCCTCTGGGGCTTGCTGCTGGCCCTTGAGTCCCATAGGGAAGGGTGGTTTCAAGGGTTCATCAGCAGCATCCGTGGCAGGAGCCAGCCCAGATCTCTCGGTGTCCTGTGAGGGGTCCTCGTCTCAGACCCTGGGCCCTGCATTACGAGAGCCCTGAAGTCCAGCCACCCAGCCAGGGCACCAGCTCTCCTTGTCTCAAAGCTATTGGCAGCTACACTCAAACACCCCGTTTTGAATCCTGCCCTGCCACTCAAGAGGTTTGGGTGGATGTGATTCAAGGGAGAGCCTGGAGTCCATCGCAACCTGCAACCTCGGCCTGGCTCCTTTGATCATGCCACTGACATCCCCCCCGGCGGAAGCTGCTCCTCCTTCACTCTCCTGTGGAAGGAGCCAGTTCGGGCCCAGCCCTGGCCCAGCCCCATCTCTGCATCTTGGTGCTGAAAGCGTCGGCTGGATTTCCAGACAGAAGAGGAAGTGGTGCGGTCTACCCCGAGCGGCTTGGCACGCAGAGGGAGCTCTGGGACCTATTATCCTCCAACGTGCAGCTTTGACGGGGGAAGAGAACAAAGCCCCGTGCCGGCCAGAAACCACAAACCTGTAATCTCTCCAAAGCCCGAAGGTGCCTGAGCATCCCGCGCTGCGTGGCCCCCAAATCTCGGAATCTCGGAGAGGCCGGCGTGTCTGTTTCCCAGATCACAGCCAACGTGGAAGGGAAGACAAATCTGCTCTGTTTGGTTTCCATAGATTCGACCAGAGATTAACTGCCAAGGTCCCGATGACACATACAATA